AGGAATAACAGAAAAAGCCGTGATCAAGGGCAAGGTAGTGGGGGAGTGCCTAGTGGTAGCAGTGGCTCTTCGGGAAGTGGGAAGAGTGGACCCTATAGCTTCAAGTGCCACCATTGTGGGGAGCTAGGGCATATCAAGAGGAACTGTCCTATCAGGGGTCAACTGGTGAACCAACAGACCCAGCAATTACCGCAGAGTCAAAGGGGTATTGCTCCTAGTCAAGACAGACTTCCACAGTTCACGCCTTTCTATCAGCCCCAGTTGCCTGTCCAGATGCCAATTCCTCCTGCACCGATCTTCCGTCCGCCGAACTACTCTTATTTCCAGCCACAGGCTTCCGTATCGGTACAGTCTACCCCGCCGCAACAACAGTACAGACCTGTAAACCAGAGACCTAACAACAATGAGAGAGAAAAAGGGAAAGCACTGGGGCAGATGCATACCATGGCCGGGGGAAGTTCTGGAGCTCATACCGGAAGCCCAGTCGTCAAGGGTATGGTATCTATCTCACATTCTTTTGCACGAGTTTTGTTCGACACTGGTTCTACGCACTCTTTTGTTTCCACTTCTTTTGTGAAAATTTTGGGTTTGAAACCCGATGACTTAGAGACTTCAATGTTTATAAGTTCTCCATTGGGCTGTATGGAGGTGACTAGTGTATGTAGGTCGTGTGTGATCACGATTGGAAGTGAGAAATTAAAGGCAGATTTGATAATCCTTCCTATGAATCAGTTTGATGTGGTGCTTGGAATGGATTGGTTGTCAAGATATGGGGCGATTGTTGATTGCCACCGTATGAGAGTCACCTTGACTATCGGTTCTGGCACGACAGTAACGTATCAGGGAGGTGTTAACCCAGTTATAGAAGAACGACTACTGAGGCATAGTGTCGGAGGACGACAGAATTTAGCTTGTTTTTCATTCCTTTCGGCATTAGAGGGTGAATCCAGTATCGCCGGGGAGAATATTGAGGTCCCCGTGGTCGATAAATATGCGGATGTATTCCCTGATGAGTTGCTTGGTTTACTGCCTGATCGGGAGATCGAGTTTTGCATCGACTTACTTCCGGAAACGGCTCCGATTTCTATTGCTCCGTATCGAATGGCGCCTGTGGAGATGAAAGAGCTAAGAAAACAGCTCGGAGAGTTAGCAGAAAAGGGATTCATTAGAAACAGCACTTCCCCGTGGGGTGCACCTATCTTGTTTGCGAAAAAGCACGATGGATCCCTTCGGTTGTGCATAGACTACCGACAATTGAATAGGGTTACCGTGAAGAACAAGTACCCATTGCCGAGGATCGATGAGTTGTTCGATCAACTAGGAGGATCACGGTATTACTCAAAAATTGACTTGAGATCCGGGTATCATCAGTTGAAGATTAGGAAAGATGATATTCCAAAAACAGCTTTCAAGACTCGCTATGGGCATTATGAGTTCTTAGTAATGCCTTTTGGATGGACGAAGGCTCCCGCCGCTTTTATGGATTTGATGAATCGAGTCTTCCGCCCATATTTAGACCAGTTTGTGATAGTCTTCATTGACGACATCTTGGTTTATTCAAAGACTTGGGAAGAGCATGAGCAACATTTGAGGATTGTTCTCCAGACTCTTCGAGAACACCAGCTTTATGCAAATAAGGAGAAATGTGATTTCTGGTTGACAGAAGTCAAGTTCCTTGGACATGTTATATCTGGACAAGGAATTTCAGTGGATCCCTCAAAGATTGAAACGGTGCTACAATGGGAACGACCGAAGAACGTTGCCAAAATTCGAAGCTTCCTAGGACTTGCAGGGTATTATCGACGATTTGTAAAGGATTTTTCGAGTATTGCTGCTCCAATGACGCGGTTGACTAAAACGGAAGTCAGGTTTGAATGGGATGCCGATTATGAACATGCATTCCAAGAACTGAGGACTAGGCTAACCAGTGCGCCGATTCTGACGATTCCTAATAACGATGAGCCGTACGAGGTGTATTCCGATGCATCAAGATGAGGACTTGAGTGTGTTCTGATGCAAAATGGACATGTTGTGGCCTATGCATCTCGTCAACTGAAGCCACATGAACAGAACTACCCCACGCATGATCTAGAGTTAGCAGCAGTGATTTTTGCTCTCAAGATATGGAGATGCTACATCTATGGAGTAAAATTCCATATCTTCTCTGATCATAAGAGTTTGAAATATATGTTCACTCAAAAGGACTTAAATCTGAGACAAAGAAGGTGGATGGAATACATGGAGGATTATGACTTCACCTTGCAGTATCATCCTGGAAAAGCCAACGTGGTAGCAGACGCTCTCAGCAGAAAGACTCTAGGAATCCTAGCATCTTTGGCATTGGAAGATTGGAAACGGAGTGCAATTGTAGGTGATTATGATCTTCAGTATTATGAGGATTCTAACCAGGCTATGGTGTACAACTTGGTTTTAACGCCAATTCTAATACAGCAAGTCAAGCAGAACCAATGGCAGGATTCGCATCTTCAAGGAGTTTGGACTCGAGTTTAGAATGGAGAAAAACTGGACGAATGGAATATTCGGGAAGATGGAACGCTCTACTTCAGGAATCGCTTTGCCGTTCCTCAAGTGGATGAGATAAAGAAGACAATCCTTCACGAGGCTCACAAATCGAGGTTCGCTATTCACCCTAGGAGTACCAGGATGTATCAAGACCTCAAAAGGCAGTATTGGTGGAGAGGTATGAAGAAGGATGTTCACCAATACGTGTCAGAATGTGTGACTTGTCTTCGAGTCAAGGTTGAACATCGAAAACCTGCTGGAGAACGGCGGCCTCTTCCTGTTCCTGGATGGAAATGGGAACACATTACGATGGATTTTCTAATAGGATTATCGAAGACTGAACATCGGCATGATGCCATATGGGTCGTTGTGGATAGGTTAACGAAGTCCGCGCACTTCATTCCCTTTCATGCGACTTATTCCAAGAAAGTTCTAGTAGAGTTGTATCTGGAGCGCGTTGTCAGACTTCACGGAGTTTCGTTGTCTACCACATCAGATCGTGACACTCGTTTCAACGCTAGATATTGGAGAAGTTTTCAAGAAGCCATGGGAACCGAACTGAATTTAAGCACTGCATTTCATCCTCAGACCGACGGACAATCTGAGAAAGTTATTCAGATTTTGGAGGACATGCTTCGCGTTTGCATTCTAGATTTTGGTGGAAACTGGAAGAAGTATCTTCATTTAGCTGAGTTTGCCTACAACAATAGTTATCAGAGTAGCATTGGGATGGCACCATTTGAGGCATTATATGGCAGACCTTGCAGATCGCCAGTTTGTTGGCTTAAATTAGAAGATCGACTGACCCTTGGACCGGATGTTATCCAGGAGAATAATGAAAAGATAGCCGTGATCCGGGAACGATTGTTAACGGCTCAGAGTTGTCAGAAGAGTTATGCTGATAGGAGACGTAGACCCTTAGAGTTCTTAGAGGGCGATTTTGTCTTGTTAAGAGTCTCACCGCGCAAGGGAGTTACTCATTTTGGTGTGAAAGGGAAGCTCGCACCGAGGTACATCGGGCCATTTCAGATCACACAACGAGTAGGTATCGTTGCTTACCGCCTTGATCTTCCTCCGGAATTGTCTCACGTGCACAATGTGTTCCATGTTTCAATATTTCAAAAGTGTCAACCTAATCCAGAAGCCATTGTGTAATGGTATGACATGCCGATCCAATATGACACGACTTACGAGGAAGCACCCATACAGATTCTTGACCGGAAGATGAAAAGCCTACGTCAACGTGAGATACCATTAGTGAAGGTGTTGTGGCAACACCATGGCGTTGAAGAAGCAACGTGGGAATTGGAAACGACGATGCAGGAACGATATCCGTATCTGTTCATATCGTGAGGTAAATTTCAATTTCAGGGACGAAATTTCTTAAGGGGGGTAGAATGTAACGCCCTTTAGAATTAAACATGTTTAATTATGCTAAACTGTGGATTATTAGTGTGTCTAATTTGATTTTCATAATTAATTAAGGGACTTTAAGTCATTTTCAATATTTATAATTACACCCCAAAGATTTTTGGAAAACACACTTAAATTTAATACATTTTCCCTTTTTCCATTTTTCTTTTTCCTTTTCTTTTCTTTTTCTTTTTCTTTTTTTCTTTTCTTTTTTTTCTTTTCCCCATTTCCCTTCCCGTGCGCCCAGCCCCCCATTCTCCTTCTTTTTCTCTTTTTTTTCTTCTTTCTTCCCTGGCTCTCCCAAGCACAGCGCCCAGCTCTCTCTCTCTCTCTCCATTTTCTTCCACCGCCGGCCACCTCCTTCTCCTGGCTTCCTCCCGCCAGCGTCCTCTCTCTCTCCGGGTTTCTCTCTCCCTCTCTCTCTCTCGGCAGTTTGGCCGAGAATCACCAAAAAAAAATGAAAAATAGATAAATTGAGGGAGACAAAGCTCGAGCAACTGATTTGAGGTAAAACCCTTTGAAACCTACTCTTTGATTCGAATTTTAAGCTTGAGAAAGTTTGAATTTGGTTAGATTTGAATAATTTTGAGTTAGGATTCGAGTTTGAACAGTTATTATTGGAATCAAATGAAATTTGGGGTTTTTAATTATTGGACTTGTTTAATTGATTAGAAACTGATTTTGATGGATTCTGGAGAATATATATTGAAATTGAACTTGAATTGCAAGTTTGGCATTTTTCCTATTTATGCCGGCATGCTGCCGAAATTTCTTTAGAAACTTGTTTTTAAACTGAAATTAAATAGGAAAA